GTATATTTTACAGTTTGGCTCATATGGTACTTTGAATCAACACTAGCCTTTTCTTCCCAAAACTATGAAAAATTTCCCAGTTTTGGTCATTCCTCCCCAGATTCAAACCCCTTGGGATGCTATAAATCGGCCACCATTATCTATTTTGGAAAGTTGACATGGATGTGGAAGAATGAAGTAGAGGAGATAGATGGACAGCCAAAGGGCAGAAGGAGAAGATCTGTGAAAGAAAGACAGAAAACAAGGGGAAGAGCTAGAGATGCTTAGCATGAATGTAATTTGTAGGCCTTACTCCCCACCAATGCAATTATAGGGAATAAACTATTGGCAGAGAGTGAAATTTGTGGAAGAGTAATGACCTGAATCTCTAATGTTTTGAGGGTTTTTTTAAATACATAGTTTTAATAATAAATCTATAGTTATCCTTTCTGAAGGATTCTAAAGAGGTTTATTGCATCACTGAAATGTAGCCACCTCTCTGTTGGAAGGCAGTAATCAGGCAGGCAACTAACATAAAGCAATGATGGTGAGGAAGTAGTGAAATTTTGGCAAAGGATACCGGAGCAAATCCCTCCGCAGTTTCAAAGCCTAGTTGTATACACTGCCTTTAATCTTTCCACACTGGGAAAATTGATGTCATGCAGTTATAGCAGTACAGTAATGCAAGTAATAATAATAATAATTTTTCTTATAAAACCTTATAAACCAGGGGTAGGCAATCTATGGCATGCGTGCTGAAGGTGGCACGCGAGCTGATTTTCAGTGGCACTCACACTGCCCAGGCCCTGGCCACTGGTCCGGGGGGCTCTGCATTTTAACTTAATTTTAAATGAAGCTTCTTAAACATTTTAAAGAAAAGCTTTATTTACTTTACATACAACAATAGTTTACATATTATAGACTTATAGAAAGAGACCTTCTAAAAACATTAAAATGTATTACTGGCACGCAAAACCTTAAATTAGAGTGAATAAATGAAGTCTCAGCACACCTCTTCTGAAAGGTTGTCGACCCTGTTATAAACCAAGAACTGGGTTTGAAGCCTCCCATCACAGCAGAAGGGGCTGGAGAGATCTGTATGTAAACAGAACCTGATCCTGCAAATGCCAAGCATAATGCATACTAGTACTACCACATACATAGTCCCATTGTAGTCCCAAGGACCAGGGGCCTGATTCACCAACCCAGTGCTATCCATCATGTGTAGTGACTTGCACAAATACAAGGAAGGCATAAAACACCATTTTGATTTGATAATGCTTTACGCTCACTTTGCACTGGTGTAACTGATTGTACAAGCTGCAGGGCAACAGTGAATTAGGTCCTAATGCTTGCACCATCAGCCTCATATAGTTTGTAAAGGGCTTATGTGTACATACATTTCTAGAGACAGAAAATGCCTTAGAAATGTAGCTCCTGAGTTAAATGAAATTTTAAAATATAAAATAGTTGAATAGCTCAGTATTATACAATCTACCATGTTCTTGGGTAATCTACTGTTTGAAGGGATGTATGGTTGGAATAGAATATGTGTTTGTGGGGAGGTTAGTACTACAGAGTAGCATATTGAATTGCAGTGTTTATTCTCCATCATCCCTGGATCTTTGTCAGTCTCTGTCAGGGAGAAACAGCAGATGGACTCATAGCTGTATGATTTGTGGCTAAAAACAAAACCAAGTCGATTTGGGGGTTTTCCAGAACTACCCAACATTAATATTAATGCCTAAGCTGTCTCTAAACATTTTGTTGGGTCATATTTTTAAAGGCCTGCATACTGTTTCCTGAGTCCATCATGCTTTGAAAGAGAGGCAACCATCTAGGAGCTCCCAGGGCTGAATATGTCTGTTGCCAGTATTCTACAAAATAATGAGATTTGTCTTGCTGCTGAGTTACTAATACCTTAACTTCAAAACCTGCACCTCTGCAATGATTTCAATTTCACGTCAGAGGTAAGATCTCAGTTTTGCATTTCAGAATTGTTCTGTGTACTCTGGTATGTGTACTGGGGACAAAATAACACTGGCCCCCAAAGGTTTTCAAAGGCTAGGAATGATTCAGAAATATTTTTCATTTCAGAGGGATGCAGGAGGGGACAGTAAGGAGAATTAGGTCTCTGCTCTTCCTTCCTATTTTATTGCAAGTCTCCAGAAATGTGACAACAGATGAGAGACTCCTAGAAAACTGAGAATCCCTTCCCCAAAATCAGGAACTTACTATCTTACTCAACTAAGCAACAGTAGCAGGGCAAGCTATTACTCCCCAGTGAAAGCAGCACAAAAATAAGTTCCAGAAGCCTGTGATAGGAATTGTGAGAGATACCCAGGGAGTAGAGCAATGGCAAAGCTGTAAAACAGCACTTGTGCAGATGTGGCCAAAACTGTCATGGGTTTTATCTCAAAACTGCATGGTTAGTGTGGATACACTGTACCATTGGTGCTTAGAACAGAGATATCCCATCAGTTCAGTTACCCACAGTTCATTTCTATAGGGTAGCCATGGCCTAGTAGAGCAGAATGGCAGTAATTTCTAGCCTACAAAAAGTCACCAATCAATACAAAGGGGCTACTCAGTCATTGAGCTAATGGGACATTGAAATCCAGTAGCTCAGCCCAGCAGGCTCTTTGTTATGTTAAATTCAGACTTCCAAAGGACGGGAGTAACATGGAAGAATTCCTCTTCCAAAACTGCAGTGTTGTTTTCTGAAATCACCCTGCTTTGCCAGAAGTGTTGCTTATGTCATACAGCAAACATTAAAATGCTAACATTGTCATCATTTATATCCAATAGAGTCTCCAGCAGTCCTGAGAATGAATGTAAAAGGATTTTTTACAGTTTCATTTACATTTCAAAAGCCCAGTGTTTGTGAAAAGATGTAAACAAATGTGTATGCCACTCTGATCTAATGGCAGATGCAGAAATATGGTAGCATAGGCTATCCCTGTCTTCAAAAGTAGGTTATGCCAAAGGCTAGGTGGTTAGGAGAAGAGACTTACTTATTATGCAAAAACTTGCTTGTTTTACTGTTTTTGTCCCCTCAGGTGCTCCCTTGACCATTATCTCCCTGTTTCATCCTGCTCTTGCATCCTGTCATAAACCTAGCCTGTAAACTCTCTCAGGCTAGGATTGTCTTTTGTTCCCTGTGCCTAGCACAGTGGGGCCCTGTTCTGTTCTTGTTGACCCTAGGCATTACTATAATGCAAGTAATAATGAGTGGCGAAAATGGAAGGAAGAGATTGATGAATCTGAGGGAGGGGAACCGGTTAGTTTTTGTGGGGAGAGGATAGAACTAGTGAATTTGGGAATCCCATTGCTGCAGATCCATCCTCTATGTCTTACACATTGCTGAGAGTCACAGTCGTGCATAACAGGAGGCATATTTGTGGCCCTGCACACTCAGGAGCGGTGCCAGGGTTTTTGCCACCCTAGGCGGCAGCACTCCTCCTCTGAGCATTCGGCGGCAGGGGTCCTTCCGCTCCGCGTCTTCGGGGCACTTTGGCGGCGGGTCCTGGAGCGAGTGAAGGACCCGCCGCCGAATTTCTGCCGAAGACCCGGACCGGAAGGACCCCCCGCCACTGAATTTCCGCCAAGGGCGGCAAAATGCCGCCCCCCAAATCCTGCCTCCCTAAGCAACTGCCTAGGGTCGCCTAGTGGAAGCACTGGCCCTGTGCACACTTGCATTACAGTGGCCACCACATTGGATTTTCCAATTCCAAAATGACTTCCCACTGACCACTAGCAATTTGGCCTTCCACAGTGCAATCACCATTTGCTCTCACTGCAATGGAAGGCTAGGGCGAGGCTTGCCACACAGATCCAGGAATGTGGCCATGTGCATCCAAAAGTTCTGCAGCCACTGCTTGTCATTTCAAGCCTGCATTACAATGCAATCCCACCAGTTAGTGCTCATATCTCAGGCCCAGAAGCGACACTCCACCATCTGCAGGTGCTCTGTGAACGCAACCAGCAACCTTAAATTGGTTCGTGGTATGTCCCA